CCCCTCCAGCAGCACGCATGCCCGCCCCCTCGTCTCCTTAGTTCCGAGCGGAGAGGCAGCTCCCTCCCGCCCCCCTGCCAGACACGCCCCCCCGGCCGCACGCATGCCCGCCCACCTGTTTGTGGCTCCCTGGACGGCAGAGCACAGCTGCAGCCAGGTAAGACATCCCCCGAAAATAAGACCTAGTGTCTTATTTCGTGAAAAAAAAAAATAAGACACTGTCTTATTTTCGGGGAAACACGGTACTATAATAGTATAAGATAGTATAAGATACTATTTTAATATAAGACACAATTTTTGTAAGTTGATGGCAGAGATTTTGTAGAGCATGAGACATGCAAGGGGTAATTGACAGCTGTCTCCATGAACAGATGGATTAAAATTTGGTGAACTGATGAAGTATACAATAGCCATTTAGGAGAAAAAAAATAAAGTATTGCTTTAAATGTTCATTGCTTTGTACACTGCCTGGCCAAAATAAAGTCACCACCTGAGCTATAGGGGTTGCTTCAGTTGGTTAGGTCTAGGTTCAGCAACATTATGTGCCCAAAAATGAGGTCAGCTGCCCCACTGAATATACTAAATGATCAAGTTTTTCCATCAATGGATTTTTTCTTCCCTGATGGCACATTGGGCATATTCCAAGATGACAATGCAAGAATTCATCAGCCTCAAATTGAGAATTCAGAGCGGTTCAGGGAGCATGAGACATCCGACTCTCCCATCATCACTACAAGATCTTAGTGAAAAATATTGTGATATTGAATAAGCTTATTAAAATGATGCCATGGCAATTGCGTGCCGTAATCAAAGATAAAGGCGGTCCAACAAAATATTAGAATGTGGCTTTTTTTTTGGGCCAGGCCATGTATGCATTGCATATTGAATGGGCAAAGTGACAAAGCCTCTTTAAATTAGCAGACTGGAGGAGCACAAACAAGGAGCTATGGCTAGCCACACAAACTGTTAGATACCTGTCGTTCAGCCCTGCGGGCTTCTGTATGGATTCAGGCACTGTTGGCTGATAACTTCCCACCTGGCTCTTTCTACAAAAGTCAATTGAAAAATTGAATTAAGTTGAACTGGGTGGTGCTGGAAGGGCCACCCACAGTTCAAAATTTGGCCAGTTTGGCAGGAATCGGCCAGAATTTGAACTCTAGGTGGCCAGCTTAAGAAGCATTTAGAAATCACGCTCACCTAACCTATTTCCTGTCAAATCCCTTCACTGTACTTTCCTTTTAAATTCATCATGGCCGTATTTGTTTCCAGGGACTCCGGAGAGTGACACAGTTTGTGGTGAATGTCCCAAAGGAATGTTCTCAAATGTGACGTCTGCCACAGCTCCATGTCAGAAACAAATCAACTGCATGAACCTGGGACTCAAAGTGGCGCACAAAGGAAGCTCTACAGAGGACACTCTGTGTGAAGAGGAATCGAGATTCTGTGAAACAGGTAAACAGGTCCACTTAAAAATATACAAGGAGAGAAGGACCAAGTACAAAGATGAGATTTTTGGTCCCTCACTATCTTTAAATTCCAGTGTCCAAAGTACCATCCCAAAAAGAAAAGCACGAGTCCATACAAATAAAACCGCTCACAAACAGAAGCAAACTGCATTCATTATTGCAACATTTTTAAAATGAAGTCAGGAAGAAAAGGTGGCCATGGCTATTGCTGTGTGGATGTGACGTTTAGAGGCTACATCCCATTACCTCCCATACTTTCCAAAGTGCATGATATCTTACCTGTGCTATTTTTGGGTTGAAACAGAAAAAAAAATTTGAGAGCTGTCATACATGCCTCAGAAAGTCTTGTTGATCCAGGGACCCCGGCCACACTGTATAGCCAGATCCTGAAACTCTCTTCAGACTGGACGGTAGTTGAAATTACAGTCTGATCTAGGACCAGCTATAACCTGTGATTTGACAATGAAGGATCAACAACATATTAATGAGACCATCCCTCTGCTTGCTGATCCTATAAGCCTATTCACATATGCACTCTTTAAATCTCTTGAGTGTATGCACCCCCTATCTCAGTTCTGCTGTGCAGGGGACTGCAAAGAATTAAATGAAGACAGATTCAGGTATTTATACCAGCTCTATTCAAAATACATTTATTAGTTATGAATGAATTTAGTAGTGTTCAGTAGACATGCAAATTTCATTTAATTCCAAATGGATATTTGTACAAATTTCATTACATTCTGGCAATTTCTGAAGTCGAATGCATCTGAATTCGAACCAATCCAAATGTTTGTTTAACGCAAATTCAGATCCATCCGCATTTTGTTTAAAAGGAATCTAATTTGGATATGGAACTGTTCTCTGGCCATTCAGGTGTGGTTTTTTTTGGCTGTTGGCGGTTGCATTAAAAGCGCAGTCATGTGAATTCCTGTTGTAGATCGTTCTGAAACTTTGGACTGAATAACAAACCAAATCAAATTTCGGATCTGAAAAACAAAAGAAATTAAGGTCCAACTTGATCCAAAACTAAACAAATCTTTAACAAGGTTACATCTGTGGTGTTCAGTAGTGTTCAGTAGTGTTTTTATATCTGCCTGACGTTGAGTTTTAGAGCAAAACTCAATTTTCCATTCTATCCCCTCCTCCACTTTTTTAGAATTACTTTATTGTCAAATTGCGATTATTTGCAAAAATCCTCTTACTTATGGTGTGTCAAATGGCATTTTTTACTCTGCTTAGCTTAGAATATATCTTGAGCTGATTTATGAAGCTGACATCCTTGATATTGCATAATAAACGTAACTGTCCAAGAGATATTAGGTGAACACCTAGAATCCTTACTTTGTAGTTTTAAAACCTGATTTATAACGTTAATTTCCAGGGTTTAAGGTTTGCTTTAGTTATCTTATGGTCCATCATTGCATATTATAGAAGCTCTACTGGGTTCAAACAAATAAAAAAATATGTTCCCCAAAACCGTTATTCAGACAGGGTTATTCACAAAGGGGTGAATAGTTTGGGGAAGTCAGGAGAATTTAACAATCTAGGATAACATAGGTGAACTGGAAAGTGAGCTGAATTGGAGAATTTTTCCAGTTCAGCTATGTTGTCCTAAATTGTTCACTTCTCCTGTTTTCTCCAAACTCTTCACCCTTCTGTGAATAACCCTGTCTGTTTTGGATAGAGTGGGGAAAGAATAAAAATCCTGCCAGTTTTGTAATATTATCCAGGGTTCCGTAACAGAGATTTACACTCACTGTCTATCCTGCTGACAATGCTTAACCAAACAGGAAGTGATGGGAAGTCGCCAAAGCAACACATATACATATAAAATGCTTTTCTTTAGCGTAGTAGGGGAAGGCTAGAACCCTTGTAAGATTTTAATTTCTTTCTCTGACTCTGTTGCAGATTGTTTTCACTTATGCCCTGATGCAACTGTTGCCAGCAGGATAAGATAGGGCAAAGCTCCCTAAGGCCCCCTGGATAGTAGTAAAAACAGGAGTTTTAATCCTCCCTCACTCTATCCAAATTTAAAAAAAGGTTTTGGCTTGACATACACTTTAAGATGAAAATAAATACAAATAATGTAATAAAATGTTATAATTAAAAGGAGATTACAATGCTTTTCTCGCTTTTGTAGATGCTTTTATAAATGAATGTATTATATTCTCAAAATATTTGTGTAAATTTATTTTTTTACAAATAAATATTTACTACAGGTTGTATACATGGCACCGTGTTTGCAAACTTCCCTATTAAAAAGCCCAGCATGCCACATGTGTGCAATACCTGGGTGGGTTTGACACTTTATTTTCTCTACAGATATTGGGCTTTGTGAAGAAGCCTTGTTTCGGTTTCCTAAGGCAGCAGCCAATTGGTCAGATGTACTCATTCCGAAATTGCATCCAACAGTACTGACATTACAGCAAATAGAGTCAATTAAACAGAGCTATGAACCTACAGATTGGCCATTCTACTTATTTAAGCTGTACAAGAGTCAAAGCAAAGGGGATAATTCTGTCAGAAACCTAGTACAAGGTAAGGGATGGCACACGCTTTGATTATTGATAATGCTTATGTTGACCATACACTAGATGATTGTGTGGTATTTCATGTACTTTTACCTAGCTTTCAAATCACAATTAATTTCACATTCTATTTCAGGCTTCCGTTTCATCTAAAAACCTCACGCTTCTCTTCCCATCTCATCTGGCAGTGTCATCTTCTTTTTCATATCCTTTTTCTTAGGCATGTCTCCCTTTACCCAATATATTTCTTAGTTTTGCTCTTCTTTGTTTGTCATGTTTCTCGCTCTTGTCTTCCTTTGTCCAGACTTTTTCTTACTCTTACTTTCCATTGCATATCCTTTTATCTAGTCTTGTCTTCCATTGAATATCCCATTTATAAGTTTTGTCTTTCTCTGCCTATCCTGTTTCATAGTCTTGTTTTCCTTTGCCTATCCTGTTTTTGGTAATCTTTTCTTTGTTTTCCCATCATTTCCTTAGTCATACTATTAGTCATTCTTTTTTTCATATTTTGTTCCTTAATCTTGTCTACTTTTTTTTCTACTTTGGTCATGATTTTCTTTGCATACTTTGTTTCTTTGCCCATCGTGTTTCCAAGCTTTTTTTTTTCTTTGTTATCATGTTCCATAATCTTGTCTTCTTTTGCCTACCCTGTTTCTAAGTTTTGACTTCTTTTGCCCATTTTGTTTTAAGCCTTGATACTCTTTACCTATCATATTTCTTAGTCTTGTTTTCATTTAGCCATTGTGTTTCTTAGTTTGGCTTTACTTTTCCTATTGTCTTTCTTAGTCTTGTTTTCATTTGCCCACTCTATTTCATAGTCTTGTCTTTCTTTATCTATCCTCAGAATGCATCTAATAGCCCCGTCTTTTTCATTTCTTAGCTTTGCCCTCCTCTCCCCTACTTCTGTCTCATCTTCACTTACCATTTGTTCATCTCTATTCCTATGCATACTTCCCTATATAGAGATTTATATCTTTTACATCTCTTCAGTAATTGAAATATTTTTTCTAAAAATCTACTCATGTGGTTATCAGGCCATTCCAAGACCCTGCACAGCTCAGCATAGACACCGCACAGCCAACTGAGAGATTTCACAGCTCACCATAGAACCTGCATAGCCACCCAAGAGTCTGCACACCATAGACCCCACGCTGCCCTCCTAAGACCCTGCACAGCCCAGCATAGACACCGCACAGCCAACTGAGAGATTGCACAGCTCACCATAGAACCTGCATAGCCACCCAAGAGTCTGCACACCATAGACCCCGCGCTTCCCTCCTAAGACCGTGCACAGCCCAGCATAGACACCGCACAGCCAACTGAGAGTCCGCACAGCCCACCATAGAACCTGTACAGCCAACTGAAAGTCTGCACCGCACAGCCCACCATAGAACCTGCACAGCCCAATCTGAGTGCCCACACAGCCCACCACATACCCCACCACACAGCCCACCATAGAACCTGCACAGCCACCTGAGAGTTCACACAGTACAGCATAGAACCTACACAGCCACCTGAGAGTCTGCATATCCCACATAGACTGCAACCTGTCCTTCGAGGGCAATCATAATGCTGATGCGGCCCGTGATGAAATTGAGTTTGACACCCCTGCTCTACATCCTTTCTATGTGACCTGACAACCCTATTAACTGCCTCCTACATCTGCCTGAACATATTCTATCTAACAAGGCTATTCTTTTCCCACAGAAGCAGATTTTATCATAGCATGAATTCTGCTTTCATGATTATGCTCAGCATTTATAGATGTCACACATCTGCAAACAGATTCAATCACATCTAACCTACCTTCTTCACCAATAATTATCTTTCTTTCACTTTTTGGTTTGCTTAGGCTAGCTCCCCCGGTCATTTGATTAAATATTCAGCATGCTATACAGGCCAACTTATAAGGCTTTGAATGTAAGTGTGTGAGGGTCTTGATCTATATATTTCCACCACATCTAACATGGCCTTTTAGATGTTATCTTTCCACCCAAACTTGAACTTTTTTTAATATTGCTTGCTTTCAGGGTCAAACATTTAGCATGGCATACAATGAAGTATCATAGAATAAAGGAAGGTATTATAATATGCCCTTCAGTAAAAAAAAAAGTATGCAAGGACTGTTCAACCTTCTGCTTTTGTGATTTATAATTGCCCCCCTGTGTTGTGTTTTATATTAATGAAACGTACCCCACACTTTTTTCACTTGCAGATATAAATGACTGTGAAAAGGAAATCCTGAAGCAAATTGGACATTTACCATTGACTACAAAACACCTAATTTCATTGATGCAAAGTTTGCCGGGTAAAGCAGTAAAAAAGAAGGATATAGAAAACATCCTAAAGTCGTGCGTCCGACCAAAGCAAATTCTGAAGATTCTTAGCTTGTGGAGGGACAAAAATGGAGGCAACACCATTGAAGGCCTTAAACAGCTGACAACCAACAGGCTGCCTAAAACATTACGAAAGGCTATGAAGAGACTGGAGCGGTTTCTAAGCGGTGTTTCTGTGTACAGATTGTATGAAAAAATAATTCTACAGATTAATGGCGCACAGTCTCAACTTGGTAAATCCGACTCGTTATTATGACTGGTGAGCAGATAATTCAACTGTGGACCACTTCAAGCTATCTACAGAACACCAAACCTCACCTGCCTGAAGGAGAAAAAAGCAACCAATCAGATTACACCTTAATTTTTTTTCCTGTGCCGCTAAGAGAAATTTAAAGAAGAAGCAGATTGGTTAAAGTGCACAATAAAGACTCTTTTCATTCAGGCAACTTTGATGAGGTCCATCATGCTAAAACTGGAGACTTATTCTGGTACCTTCTGTATAAGCTTTATTTATAAATATATTTGAAAGTATTTTTTTAGAACACATGCCTTATTAGAGCAGATCTATTCAGTGTTATCTAGCCACTTTGTCCTGACCCTTCTGCCACATTACATACACAAAAGTATAAAAGTGCACATTAATGATCTCAAAGAATCTCAATCTCAATGAAGCCACTGCATGTAGCATTCCACAATGTTGGCATTTGATCACATGATCTTAGCCACCGGGGAATGAAAATTCAGGCAAAGGCCCAATTAACAACTTTGATTATCCCCTATGGCTCTTTTCACCAGATGCTGGCAGCTAGTCATGTGACTAGTGGCTTCAGGAGCCTGAAGCAACAGTTTATTCAGAATAGGTACATATTTTAGGACCCCTCTTATTAGCTATAAATAAGGTGGCAGTGGGGTCAAGGTGTAGGGGTGATCAATACAGGTTTGCTTTAAAGAACCCTAGTCCTTTATATATACCTGACTGAGGGCTGAATTACAGAAACTTTGTCAAACGAGAAGTAATGTTGTCCCTGGCAAAAAGAAACAAATTCTTGAATTCCTATTTTACAGTGCATTGTCAAAAAAAAAAAAAATAGGCTGGAATCTTATTGGCTGTCACAGACAACACCTCTCTTTGCCTTAGTTTATATACATTTGCTCCACAATTTTGAAGTTGTTCCGTCAGTTTTCTTTTTCCTCTTGTTGTTTGTTGTATGTATTTTTATGTATTTATATCTCCATGTTGATTTTGCTTAGACTTCTGGTTATTTCCTTTTTTTTTGGTATTTATTATTTTAATTTAACTTGGTCCAGAAAATACGTTGGGGATGAGGAGACAGTTCTTATGACATTTTGTTATTTAATTCTTTTTTTTTAAATGTACAGCTCACATTTCAATTATTGCAAGTTCCTGGGCAAATATTTCAAAAGGCTTTTTTTAAATAATTTTTCCACTTTAAATTAGTTTTTACTTGAGTTGCGAGGACTATTGTTGACATTTCATTGCTGTGCTGACGTGGGTGGGCTGAATCATCTGTACTTAAATGAAACATCTTCAGGGCTTCTGTATATCTTCCGGAATCCCATGGAATGTGCTCTGCACCAGCATGCATACTTATTAAATCCATCAGGTGCCACAGTGGTAGTTGAAGGCAGAACATATTTACCTTAGTAAAAAAAGATTTTATATA